AAAAAAAGTTTTAATCTGGCACTCATTGTCACCAGTAACAACAGAACATTTGAAAGATTCCACAAGTGCATTACACCAAATCCCTCCCTAAGGGAGTCCCACTTCCAAAATTCAGTCATTCAGGGTGGCATTTATAGAACACTCATATTAAAAATGCTTATTATCCCAAGTTTCAATGGAGTAAGTAGTTTAAAAAGTCAGGTTTTTTTATTCCAGTATAGTGACCTTTACAGGATTTGTCAGAAGCAGTGATGTACCTGACACCCATGCTGAAGAATTATTTTTATAGTTTTAACATGCACATAAGTGTGCCTGAGGCCACGGCTGCTACAACCACTGGTGTGAAGATTGGTTCTGCATGGAAGCAATACACATAAATAGCAGATCGCCAGTAAGTAACCCTTCTTTACTATGTCCCAATACACAAAACATTATACTCATCGTTTCAGAAAACTACATTGTATTGTTAAAATGAGAATTCACGTGAATAATCACAAGGTGCTTAAGAGACTGCTTGATTCCAGGCTTCTCAGGAAACACTTACTTGCATTTGCAGCCTGCATTATCTGTTCAAGCAGATCCAACGTCACCGTTTTTGCTGTTTTCCCACAAATTTCTATGTTTCTGGACATCCCACTTGTAACTATATGAGAGGGTAAAATGGAGACCGTCACCTCCTCCAGATCAGGAATGAGGGTTTTTTTGTTTGTTTGTTTGTTTGTTTGTTTTTTAATTTTTTTGAGAGCTGAATAATGAGACTCAACCCTGCTGAAAAAAAGATTTCTATGAAACTCTCCAAGAGGTAGTCAGTTAGTGGTTGGTTGATACCATGCACCATGAAGGTTTATATTTCATATATTCTTTTACTCTGCCTCATGTAACTGTGGATGATCTCATTATCTATACACATACCTGCTCCTTTTTAAATAATTGCAACAAGCTCTTGGCTTCATGAATAAGTCTGTGGCAATGAGTTCCCCAGGTAATTATACAGCACTGTCAGTCCCTAGTGGACTGCCTTCTAAAGCAAACTCCTCCAGCCAAGTGGTTAATGATATTGGAGGAAGCCCAGTTTTTAGTTGGAAATGGTGCAAGCTGGAATGTGGGGTATCATCAATATAAAAGTAAAAGCTGATCCCTTTTTTTTTTCTGTTGGGGAATCCTCCATGTCTCCATCAAAGCCTGTATGATGTATGTGATGAGTGTGCGAACGTGTAACATACACTAACCTTTAAGAGGTGCTAGTTGTAGTGGCGAAGGTGCAGGATGTAACGGGGTCAGTGACTGCCGTGAAGGCGCGGGTGCTATGAGGCTGTAAGAGAGGAAAGGTCCTTTCTCATGTATTATACAGGCATGTTCCATGTCAACAAAGTTTCTACCCAGGGTTTGCAGTTTGAAAGAGGGCTGGTAACTGCTATGTCACTTCAGGGGATCCTCCCCTCTTTTACATAACATACTTCTAGAATTTCTAGTTCTAGAATTTTTCTAGAAACAGCTGACTGAAATGGTTCAAATATTGTCCACATTGTATTGTGCCAAAAGAGGGAGGGCAACTGAGATTTTTGTCAGTATTAGCACTTTGGTGCATTACAAAACAATTATGAAAGGTCATGGGGAGGGCATTTTGGCTAAGGTAATTTCTCTTCCAGGAATATTCTCTTTGGTGACATACCGTAAAGTGTCTTACCTTCCCACAGAGCATGCATCATCCATGGAAGGCTACAAGAGAAACAGAAAAGACAATAGAAAAACAATAGAAGTTTTGTTTTAAAATGTATTTTAGAGATCAGGCTTTGTAAAGTCTCTCCCCAAAGGCTTATGTCAAGGCTGAGGAAGATCAGCTTTTGACTACCAGATGGAGTGGTTCATACAAAAGATACTTGCATTCCTTCCCCTCCGTGTGTCTCACCAACATAGTGAATGTACAGTCTCTTGAGCTACCTCTGCCAGGTCTAGCCTGCCTTTGGCAATGTTGTTGAAAAAGCATGAATTTGCATGTTATTACAAAGCAGTCTTCTATAAGGCTATTCACCCAGGTATATTAAAGTACTTTGTGAACATTAAACTGCATAACTCCAGTGGGCTGTGCCATACGTAATTATTATTATCCTGGCCTTGCAGGCATGAAAGAGTTCTAGGATGTGTCAAAAGTTGCACAGTAAGACGCAACAAGCTTGAGAAGCACTGAACTCCCAACCTTCTGCTGTAGCTGCTGCACCAGGCTCATTTAATTTATGTATATCCTCTCCGTTTGCATTCAAGACAACATAAATGACACAGGTGCAAATTGGAACAGCCCAAACAGTTAGCAAATGTCACCACTTTTATAGTTTCATAGTTTCTAGGGTTGGAAGGGACCTGAGCAGATCATCTAGTCCGACCCCCTGCCATGGCAGGAAAGAGTACTGGGGTCAAATGACCCCAGCAAGGTGTACATCTAGCCTCCTCTTAAAGACCCCCAGGGTAGGAGCCAGCACCACTTCTCTTTTGCTGTGGAAATGGCCACAGTGTAATACAGATTAAAAGGTGAGGTGGAGAGCAACAAAAATCTCATTAGTGAAGGATGCTGTTTTCATTCCCAAGTATCTGCTGATGGTGGGAAAGGAGAAACAGACTATTAAATCTATTTGCAGAATTATTTCTAAGTAGTCTTGAGAGTTTGCAGTGAAATCTTACAAGCCTATAGCAGAAGCAAGGTCCATTTTTGCTCATTTTTAACAAACTCAGCGTCATGATTACCCTTTGCTGCTTCTGGAGCTTTTTGATTACATCTTCCAGCCCACTTATCTGGGCCTCTGCCGCCTTCTGCATTTCATAGCGCAGCTGTTTCTCCTGAAAGAGATCATTTGAAATGGTAGAAGTCCATGAGTAGCCTTGTGCAATGGCAAAAGTTGTTTGACATCTAGTTTATCAGCAATAATATAGAAGGCAAAGCTCCCTACAAATTCTGCTGTAATGCTAGAGCAGAACAAGCAAATATTTTCCATGCTGATACTTGGGTTCATATTCTATGGGTAGAATGACTACTGGCACAGAATGACTGCTGTGTGTCACTGCAAAGGAACCATGTTTTGTTGACAGGGTAAAGATCTATTGCAAGCTGTAAAGCCTTTTACAGTCCTTCAAAACTAGAAGATCTGTAGGAAGGGATCAGTGCAGAAGGACTGTTGTTTCCATGCTATGCTACGGCTCCAAGATGTACAAAAAGAAATAAAAATTTCAGAGTGGCTCCTACCCTGCAACAGTCATCTTCTCTTTTCTCCAGATAGTACCTGTGTTAGTTGTTCTTCCAGGTAGACCTGTTGGGCCTCAAAGGTTCCTTTAGTTTCTTCCAACAGCTGTAGCAGTCTGCTCTCCTGTTGCCTATAATTTTATTAAATAGGTCATTTCAGACGATGAAACTTTCAAGGCTTCTTTTTCTTTTATGCTTTTAAGTCTAGTTTATAATTTAAGTATAATTTATGTTGTTATAGTTCCATATCTGGGAAGGCTGGGATTTATTTTTTCTTTTTACCTCCTTTCTTCCCCCTCTTTCAACTTCTGCAGTCTTTCTTCATGTTTCAGTCTCTCCTTGTGCTGCTTTTGGAGCATCTCATGCTCTTCCCTGCAGGCCAGAACATATGGTGTTCATTACAAAATACGTGTGGGTTCCACCCCTAGTACTGTTGATTGTTTGTCTGGTCTCAACTTTGAACAGGGCAATGTGCTAATATCAGACTTCAGCTTAGTTGTCTGCTCAGAAGAGAGCATAAGCCTGACAAAGCCAGTTAGTGGGTGGTGTTTTGCTTGTTACCTTAACTGCATTGAGTATTGGAGGCTGCCAGTGGATGATGCTAAAGGTTTTGGTCAATTATTGTATTTTGGCAGCAACTAGGTCTAGGAAAAGATATTAGTACAAAGGAAACAGCGAGAAAAGGGTGACTGAGACTTCACTGAATGGTAGAAACTATGTATGTAACTGGAATTTAACCGCCACTCTAAGGGCAGCTAGGAAACTACTGGTATATGACTTTTTTTGTTCTATAAGTGAGGTCTGCAGTGTTCATGCTTCCTTAGGCTCCCTGGAGGTGAATGTAGTGCCTCTGCTTCAATCCCCACTGTAACGTATGAAAGTCTGATTTCTTTTTGTTTTACATTTGTACAGGGTAGCAATGATGCTGCAATGATCTGTTTTACTCTTTCTCTACACTCACTTTTGTACACTTTGCTTGCTTACTCTTCAGTTGGTACTGTTGGGTTTGTGATCCACAGATTTCTGGAAAAAGAATTAAACTCCCCCTTCTACTTTCAACATTTTTCATTGCGATTTACTAAACAAAAATTAGTCGATGTGCAGAAGTATATGGGCCTGGTATGACTTAATCTAATTCCCTCTAAAGATGATTCAGAGTGGTGGTCAGAAAAACCCCAGCCTCTAACGTGAAAGCAATATGTACCCAAGAGAGAACGACCTTGCCTGTCTCCTGTCCTCAGGTCTTGTTCTTGGAGGTACTGTTACTCTGGACAAGTAGCTCCAAGGAGGCAAAGCTGGAGGTAAAAGCACCAAAAGGCTTTGGTGAGAACACCGCGTTTATCAGACATCTAAACAGCACACAGAGGCTGCCAGAGATCTGAATCCATCTACACTGCCTCTCATGAGACATAAGTCCAGATGTTTGTTGATAGTGTTTCTATGAAGAATAAGTACTTTTTCATCTGAACATGGCTATTTTGATTTGCCTAGTCTTAGAATTCTCCAACAAAACTAAAGACATGTATAGCTAATGCATACTTCTAGTTTTTGATGTATGTAGTGTTGTGGAATATGTTAACAGTGGGTACAGGTAACTTGTGCTCTCATGTCAGACATCAGAATTAGTAGCATGTCCTGTCCGGAGCATTAATTTACGAGCCGCCTTCTCTGCTGGTATTATATTGATTCTGTAGAGCAAGAAATGGGCTTTCTGTGGGGCAGTTGTGATATACAGTATTTCCACAGTAAGAACTATGCCTCAGGGTAAGGGTGGCAGCCACTTTGTTCTTGGAAGAGCTACAGCCTATACAGGGGAGATTCAGCCATTGTGCTCTTCCCCTAGGAAAACTTGATTTTTTTTTTCCCTTGTGTTTCCTGGAATAAGCCTTTCAGTGTGAAAGCATTTGGCTTCTATTTTTGGATATATAGAAAAGGCAACATTTGTCTGGAAAACTGAATATACTGTGTCTCTCATTAAAGCATGGTAGTATTCTGTTTCTTCTGCTTATGGCAGTTATGATCCTGTCAGTGAATTGCATGGATCTGATAGTTGCTGAAGCACCCTTCATTAATAAAGTGAAAACATAATTTGGGCTCATATACAGGTAAGACTAAACCATCCTGTAGTGATCCCTGATGTGCAGCAGTCCGATAGTTTTGCTAATCTAGGATGTCTGCATATGCTCCCATATGTTTACAACAGTAAAATTATTCAGGACCAAATAAGACACATTCCACTCTAAGGCAGCTTGAATCTAGCTGAGGAAATTGCTTCAGTGACACCTAGTCAGGTGTAGTTCTTGTGCAATGCCATGTGCAGGATGTGATCTCACCTTGGGTGGGGTCATGGGTTGGGAAGGGCTCGTTGTCATCCTTGTGCAGCTGTCTGTAGAGTTCCTTGAAGTAGTGTCTTCTGATCATGTCTTGGAATTCTTGCACAGACAGAGTTGGCCCTTGAGTCTTTAGAGCTGCTTCCACCTGGCCTGGCTGAATCAAGCAATAGGCTGTAATAAAATGGGGCTGCAGAAGTTGTAAGTTTTTGTGGCATGGACTTCTGTTATATCTCAGTTCCCTCTTTTGCTGCTGAGCTTGTTTGTTTTCGAACACTCTGCCTTTTGCTTCTGATTTGCCTTCTTAGCTTACCTCATATGATGATTTATAAAACAAACTATCATGGAGTGAGGTCTCATGAGACTGCAATTTATGAGAGTAAGGAAATGGTGACACTTACTGACTGACATGTTTTCAGATAGTCCCGAAGGAGCAGGATGAAGACTGCGCTGAATTCAGGGAAGCAGTTGTATGATGGCTGGTCAAGTCCGATTATTAGCTGGTCCCAGACATACAGTAATGTATCCATGCTCAAGTAGCCTGTGAAAGGAGCAGCGTGTCCTGTTAATCCAGGAAAGGGCTTCTGACCCATTTAGGCACCTCAGACACGGCCTTACCCACAAAGAGAGTACTCATGGCTGGTTGGAGCATGTGCTTCATGGCCCTCAACAGGGATTCTTGAGTTTCCTCTGCAAAACCACAATGAAAGAGACATTCAGGTCCTTAGGCACACAGCTCTCCTATTCTAAATTGGTTCAGCACAGCTGCTGGAGTTTGAGTTTGACTGATAGTTCAAGTAGAGATTGACAGACTGGTTTTGTCATGAGCTAGGAACTATTTCATATAAGACAGCCTAAGAAATACAGCAAAAGCTGTGTTAACCGGCACTTTATTAGCCAGAAAACTATTAACTGGCATCTGAGGGATGCGGCCAAAGTGAAACCGGACGTACCGCTTCTGAGGGCCTTCCCATTTTGCCGCCACGAGCCGGTTTTCTTTGCCGCTTCTTCGGCCCACGGCCCAGGGCACAGCAACCTGTGCAGGGCCCCCCTCCCTGTCCCCCAGCACGCTGACACTGGGGAGTGCACCAGCCGATGCACATTTGATTACCCAGAGTATTTGATTAACCAGAATTCCCTGTTCCCAGGGGATGCCAGATAATGGAGTTTTTACTGTATGTGCAGATCGGGCAGATCCAGTGGAGCTGTGCTGATATGCACCAGCAGTGGATCTGACACAAAGCACTGCTTTCCTTTGCAATAATGAATGTCCTGTCTTCTGAATCCCAAACTCGAGGAAGATGAGGTTCTGTGTCTCCCCTCCAAGCAAATCGTACAAGTCGTTGTAACATCGTACTCACTCCTTACTTTACTACCAAGCCACCTTACCTGACTGACTGTAAATGCCCTGAATAACTTTGGTCAGGTCCCTGTCCTGTTCCTGTAACATTGAGCTTACTTCCCCCAATACATCGGTACCAGCAGCATCCTAGAAAGAAAAAGAAACAACATGTAAGAGATTGAAGTGCAGATTGGGCTGAGGGAAGGACGCAATGTCTTATTGGTATCTGTCATTTCTGAAGCTCTGTTAATGGGTGCTTCACAGAACTAAGGAAAGGCATGATCAGTTGCTCTCTCTAGCCCAAGCTGAAATGCCTTCATACTGGGTTTATATAACTTGACTGGATATACCGTTTCACTTTCATCTGTCTACAGGATTTGGTACCTGTTGTCTGTTCTGTGGTTTCAGTAGGAGACTGGACTGTTTTTATTAATACCCTTCTGCATTTATATAGCACTTTTTATCGAAAGAGCTGAGGATTTACAGATGTGGAAATTATTTTCCACATTTTGTGGGTGGTAGAGGCACGAGAGCAGGTTGTAACTTGGGCAAGATCACAAAGCTAGCAAAGTCTCCTCTAAATGCAGGTTTCCTGACTCCCAGACCTCTGCTCTAACCACTTGTGTCCGCAGCTGCCCTTTCTCCTTTCGCTATCCTAGAAGGGGCCCTGTGTTTTGGTTTCTGCCAGCTCCAAGGTAGTTCCCAGGCAGAATGGACAGTGTGAAGGATTGAGGGTGGGGAAGTCAGTCCAGGAGCCAGGAGTCTGTGCTGGGAGGTGCAGCGAAGAGCAAGAGATACACGCAGGGGAGCAGAGCAGGAGTGATGATGACTCTGCAGTGATGAAGCCTGTCTGGATACTAGCATCCTCTTTCTCTGAAAAGTGATGGCCCTGAAATGTGAGAGGCATTTGAACTCTACCTGGGTGAAAGAGAGTCTCACGAACCGAGGTCAAAGGTTCATGAACGTGATAAACTCTTCCACCAGCAGGGCAGAAATGGAGTCCATGGATAGGTTGGGAGGAGCAGTGTCTAGGACGACTTGCAACAGAGGCACCAGTAGAAAGTATTCCATATCAGGCAGATGTGTGGCTGCGCCCTGAAGCTTATGGTAATAGGAGAGGACATTCCTCAAACACCTTGCTGCAACTGAAATTTAAAACATCTGTCATTTTCCTGGGTCTTTGTCCTCACCCCCTTTTCCTCTGTCTTGGTGTTGTGTGCATTCCTAAATGCAGGCTGGAAAGGCAACCGTTATCAGTGACAGCAGAACTACAAGCAACATTACCTTCATTGTCTTTCAGGTGCTGAAAAGTGGGTTCAGTGGACAACAGAGTCTGAGACTTCAGGAAAATCTCCCGGTCCTTTGGGGATTTAGCTTTATTTGCTGCTACTTGAGACAGATAGTCTAGGCGTACTGGGGAAAAAAACAGACCATATGGGGAAGACGTTGGGTTTGATTCCCCACCACTACCCGTGATTTGTAATTTAAGACAGAGGACTTTATTCTTAAGGTTCCTATTATTTACCAGGCTCCTTCTTATCACACTGCTGGACCCTGCTGTGTCATTAAGCTTGCTTGCTTTAAAGAAGTTTTGAACTATAGTTTGCATAGGTTTGCATAGTTTCCATTGTCTTCAGGGGAAGTGCATAGGGAACAGATAAGCATCAGGTTTGACACTTACAAGTGTGTAATAACCAAGCTGCATGAGACATCATGTCTGATGATATCTTCACAATTATTCTGTGAGCCCCAGAGAGAAGTCCTCCCTAGCAGGGGTGAGTGAAGCAGGGAAGTCACTCGAGCTCTCACTTGAGTTTGTTGGGAGAATTTCTTCATGGGCTTCCCAGGAACCCCTTCCTACCATGTCATCTGAAAGAATGACACGTGTGGACCAAGAAAAAAATCCTGCGTTTTTTTAATTAGCTCTACATAGAACTTTTTTATACTTATGATTGAGGCTGTGAACAGCAGTCCCAAGGTCCTCCATCCTTTGCATTTGTGGGTGTCTATTAATCCTAGGGTACATTGGTTTGCAAATGTACTCAAAGCCTGGTCAAGAGCAAGAACCACTGAAAAAAATGGAATACCTCTTGGATTAGACAGGTAGAGCCTCCAGGTGACCCTTCTGAAGTCTGCAGGGAGAGGCTGGTTGAGAAAAGCATGCATTTTCCCTTTCAGCTCTGGCCTTTCTTCCATCAAATTAATCTGAAAAACAGGGCAAGCAGCTCAATTCTAAACTGATGCCTTCTAACACAAAAATAAATGCCCCTTTCTATAAGACTTGGAGCCCTGGTGTGCAGTGCAGCTGCTCAGTGAAGAGTTTTCTTACATGAGCCATACAAAGGCAGACCTCGTACCTGTTCCCAGTAGGTAGCCTAGTGCAAAGAAGGCTTTTTGTATCAGTAATCACCTAGAACAAGGTGGATGGTTAATCTAGGTTTTCATATCTGCCTGGTATCGACTTTTGTCTAAGCAGAGCAAATGAGGTGAACTGGGAGGCGAACTGATCGTCTCTGCTGAGCAGAATGATGGAGAAGCTGAAGTGTAGCTCACTAGATGCAGAATTGACATGCCTGTATTCGTGACTACACACAGAATTTGGGTCCTAAAATGAGAGTTTTAGCCAAAAGCACAATTTGGGGTTCTTGGCAAATATCTTGCCACTAGCAATATAGATGAAGGACTATGAAAGAACACGTTTTGTCTTTAGTTTGCCCAACTGGTTCATCCAGCTGGAACTGCTGCAGATTACATGAGTTCTTTAGTTTGAGTTTTGAACAGTTTTCATGCAAATAAACCTAGAGAAAAACAGCAAGAAAGCATACCACTCCATTCCTGATGTGACTCAAGACCAGGGACAACTTGCTTCTCAGATGATCACCATCTCTCATCTCATGAGCTACTTGGCTGTACAGCTGCTCCTCTAAGGAAGCGCTAATTTGAGACATCATGGCTTTATACAAGTCTCCTGAAACAATCAGAAGATTTCTTTGGTGCTAATCAGGATAAAGGGACAGCAGCCAAGACAGCAAATAGGAAGGGTGTCTCTTTGGTGATGGGCATGTAGACTTCTAATGATTGTATTAGGACTACAGTTACAAGATCCTCTCATCCAGGGGGTTGCATTTTGGCATTTTCTCTTACTGTGCACCATCTGAGGCATACAAGAAAAGCCCTTGGTGTCACTAGCAAAAGCTACTGTGCCAGCTTAGAATTTAAATCTGTTTATAAATGAGTATGTCCTGCCATGATTACTACCCAGCTAAACTCCAGATATTCAGTTATAACAGAGCTGGGCATGGTATAATGCCAAGATATATATTATGAAAGAGGCCAAAGATTAATGGAGACCTTAATGATTTATGCAAGACAACAAGGCACTCAGATGAAAGGAAAGTGTGGTGATGGAAAGCTAAAATAAGAGGGCTGGATAGTTCCCATTTGCCAAGCAGTTACCTCTTTGAATGGCCCTGGCAGCTCTCTGCAGGACAAAAGCCTTCTCTGCCTCCAAGAGGTCTGTGAAGACATTGACGTGGCTCTCTGTCATCTGCTGCTGGACAGCGTCAAATAGCCTTATTGTAAAATCTTTCCTCTCCTGCCCAGTACACAGAGGGGAGTCAGTTAGCCCAGACTCGCTTGGGCCCTAGAATTCTTCCCGAATAGGGACTGAGAGTCCTTAGGTCAGGGAAGAGGAGATTGAGGTAGTAGACACGTCTGTGGGGAATGCCCTTATCCTTCAAGTCTCATATATACATATAACTCAGATACTGCAGGAGACAGGTTGTGGAATTAGTGACCCCGATGATAACCGCTGTTGCTTTCTTTGTAAGTTCATTCCCAAAACATTATTTATGCCCCAGCTTCTTCCTTTTAAATGTGGCTCTTGTGGGTATTTTTAAAATAGCCAAGGGACTTCTGGCTCTCTTGCTTTTTGCCTTTATGTTCTAAAGCATACTTGCCTCTGCACTTGGCAGAAGCTGAAATGCACAGGTAATGTAACAGAGCCCCTAGGGAGCCAGACCTCTGCATGGGGTGAGCCGGCGGCACAGTCTACTGTGTCCCACATCCCACCAGTGGATATTACCCAGGAGACCATCCCTCCTCCTCAGTGCTGTTGACTTGAGGAAATACGAACCCATCACTTAGCCACTGCTCTCTGAGGCAGGATAAGCAAGATGCAAACTTGGGCTGCCATGACCCATCAAGGCATGTCCCAACTTTCTGCGCGTTCGTCCTGCCATACCTGTGAGTTCTCAATCTGTCTTCGGGCATTCTGTAGCAGCGCAGAGTTCCTGATCTGCTAGTCATTGCTTCAGACTGTTTCACCAAAGCAGGCAAGCTGGTGCTATTTCCTGTTGCTACAACAGTCTTCACCAGGGCAGCTACCAGTCAGCCTGTTCTGGTGGCCACAAGGAGAGTGTTTACTTTCACAAGCCCCAACCCTCCTGTCTTTTCTCTTATTAAGATGAGAGAAGATCTCCAACCCTCAGACTCCTGTTAAGAGTGGTGGTTGATGGCAGCCTTTACTTCACGGTTTACTTTCATGTCGTGTCCCAGTTGCTGGTCTAATCTCATTTGTCTCACACGAATGAATGTTGGACTGTTAGAAGGGTTCATACTGCATCTTTTCTTCTTCCTCCAGGCTGTCTCTGTCATCTTTGTCACCCACCAGCTTTCTTCCCATCCAGGCCCAGGATAGGGATTGTGTTTTTCAGTGGTACGGTCTCATTTGTGCGTGACCAGGACATGTTGTATCCAAATGGGGCTTGGGGTGATGGTCTCCGCACAGTCATTCATAGGGGTTCCATGTCCAGTGAATGATGATTTTTGGTGGGGGGAGCACCTACATAACAGGCTTGCTGTACTCACCATGGCATGCTACTAAAACAGGTATTTGTGGTCTTGTGCTGCCCTGCTACATCCTGGCATATGCCTTTACTTCTGTGTCTTCCTTGCCTCTGTTGCAGTTGATGGTGGGTGTGTTGGGGAGAGGGCACGGCACATGGTAGACTTCAGATTCTTGCTTCTTTCTAGTATTGTCAGCATCTTTTCCCCATCCATTGGGAGTCTCACCCCTGGCTTCCCTTACTGCAACTAGTTGAATAAGGACTTATTGTGCGCTATACAAGAAAAACCACAACACGCAGGAAGCCTAGCTCTGGATGCCTAAGCACTAGTCATAATAATTAGTTGCATGAGTTTAGTTTATCCTGTGGCTCTGAATGGTAGCAGAATAATTCCATTATGTTTAGTCTTTTCACAATCCTTCCTGAATGATCCTAAATAAAGGCTTTATCTTGTATTATAATTATTTATATGATGATAATATATCAAGAGCTGGGTGCCAAGTACCGTATGCAGGGCTGTTTCTTCTCCCTCAGAGCACTGAGTACAGTACAAATAAACACAACAAACCCTCAAATTAACTTCCTTTTCCCAAAGCAGAGCCTGGTCATGTGGTTTAACTGCCAGCTGTTCATATGTGGGCATTCAGGCTCACAAAAGGAAGATGGGGACTTTCATGTGGGATCTTTGCATGACAGCTCTGACCTTTGCGAAAATGATCCCGTCCAGGCAGAGGAGCATTCCCATGCTCCCTTTCCAGATTGTCAGACTTCTCTAACAACAGTTCATTTCTTTACATAATGGGCTAATAGAAGCTCTTCTTCCTGGAGACCCCTCTTCAAAGGAGAAGTATGTTGCTTGTCAGAGAAGATTTTTGCAGAATTTCTCTTCCTCCCAGACAAATCTGGTGACTGTACCCAGAGCACTGGGCATCAAGACAGTTCTATTCTTGGTTCTGCCACTGATTCATATAAACTTGGGCAAGTCACATAACCCTTATGTCTTGCTTCCTTTTCTGTGAAAGGGAGCTAATATTTACAGCAATGGTCAGTGTGTGTGTGTATGTGTTTGCATGTGTAGGCATTTATACATGCTCAGTGTTGCAATGACTGAAAAAGTATTTGTCTTTAAAATCCTTTGCCAAAAACTTTTCTTTTCCTGTCCTCCTTCAGCTGCTTTGGGATTTGAGGAACCATTGCTAGCAAAATCCATTCCTAGCCTTGTTGCACTCTGCCTCTTCCATTGTGTGTATTATTAAAGCTAGATGCACAGAAAGTAGTCTCCGAATGCAATTCTGTGGCTCTTTTTCAGCAGGACAGAGCATAGAGGTAGGAGGCTACTTCATACAAAACTGTTTACATCTCTGTGCTGGGGTTTGTTATTTTTGGAAAGTACAGCATAGCCAATTCCCTGTTGAGGGAAAGGAAGCCAAAACAGCCTGTCATTACAAAATCAGCTTCATTTTTTCCCATAGGTCCACACAGATATCTGAGAAACTGAGGCATGGAGCAGATGGGATGTCACTATGGCTTCTAAAGAGGTGTCTTGCTTCCACCAAAGAGAGATTCTAGCTGCGGTGGGGCGCGGCAGATGTTCCTTGGTTGCTAGCTTGGCCCCTGGAGCCTGCAGAGGATTACTGTGGACTTTCTCTGGGCCTCTGGCAGTATGGTCAAAAGAAAAATCTGCTGGGGGAAGATGGGAGAGAACTTAAGAGGTTGCTGGGTGTTGTCTGAACCTCTCTGCTAGGGAATGTGCAGTGTATCGTTGCTGGTAGCTCCTCACCACTGGGCTGATCTGGCTATGGGGCCTGCGTTCCAGTTTGCACTGGCAATTCTTGCACTGGAAGTTCCCCTAACTGGGTGGTGACTAGTGAAGTTTCTCTTCCCATAGCAGAACTCTTGTGCCACAGACTGGGTGAGGGGGGCCTAGGTGGGAGAAATCATAGGTGCGTACTGCTGTCATGTCAGCTGTGCACATTCACCATTTCCGCTTCTGGTCTGGCTGGCATGGGGTAATGCAGACTGTGAAATGAGGGGAAAGAAACAGATTCCCTGTTCACCTTGGAGAAAGGGAGACGAACAGGAATGATCCACCTGAGTTCTTTCCCCTGTGCCTTGACTCTGTCCTAGCTATTCTGCTCTCCCCCGTGTTTTGCCAACCCACCTGACTCTTGCCCTGCAGCGCCGCCCCCGCCAAGTTATTCCAGTCCTGGGCTCACCTCCAGTGAGAATGGCAAGCTGTGATTACCCTGAAATGGCAAGTAGCAAGTAGGTATGGTCCTACCCCCCAGTGACGCTCTCCATCACGGTGTATCCGAGTCAGTCCCCTACCAGGAAGAAGCCTATAGAAGAAATGGGAATTCCTATAAAGATGTGGCTTCAGCCAACTAGAGTAAAATAATAATTGGGCTGGTGTTTTTGACCACTGTGAGGGGCCTTGCTCAGAACGGCAGTCCTGGCGGCACTGAGTGGCCTAACTCATGGGAACTGGGACCTCTCTGTTCAACCGTCTGGAGCAGTGTCGGACAGATGATTCTCTGGGCTTTGTTCATTAACATTGTGGTGATGCTGACTCCCTTTTGCTCTAATTTAAGCCTCATCACAGTTTGGGGGGTGTGAAGCCGTGTGTGGAAAAACAACCACTTCTTGCAAAAGCCTGTTAGCACATGGTTTTGTAACAGTCTTGTCCGCCCTCGGGGCTGACTGAGCAGTCCTGAGCCTAGTGACAGACCTGGGAGCAGACCCGCAGACTACAGGAAGAGTCTCCACTAAAACCAGCCAGCCGCTTCATCAGATCTGAGCCTGCTCTTGTGGAGAAACTTCAAGATGCTGGTCTACCACATGGGAAACTAGGGGTTAATAGATATGCATGTTTATACTCACGATGTGGCCAGCCAGCCATTGCAATAGAGAAGTACAGCGCTCATTGGCTCTCTGTTGAGGTTTTCTTTCTCTGTGAGATCCATCTAGTCACTTCCTGCTAAAACTTCATCATGCTGTCCTTTTTCACTTAATTGGATGGTCAGGTTGCAGTCCATGGCTACCCTGGAGGCAGGCTGAATCTCTGTCCCTGGATTCATCAGCGCATACAGGGAGTGCTAACAGGCGGATCATTTCCTTCCCAGGATAACACCAGTCTTACCCACCGGGAAGTTGTTGTGTTTTTTTTTTTTTTTTTTTTTTTTTTTTTTT